CTATATATATATATATATATATATATAGAGAGAGAGAGAGAGAGAGAGAACTTAAAGATTTACGAGACTCAAGAACTCTTAATCTGCTCATCATTTTTCTAAACCAAAACCACAAATATTCACCAAATGTTGCGTCCAAAAAAGGGATCAATGTTCAAAAAAGATATAACGATTTTTTGTTTGTTGGAAATATGCATATATGCACATCTAAATATGCACGCATGCATATTTTTGGACCGCGGACGTAGATATGATTATCCGCAGTAATATTGTGACATCTCAAAAATACAACCAATTTAAACTTTTCAAAATAACTCATTTACTAATAAAAGCATTTACAAAATCATTGTTTCCAAAACATTATTTAAAATCAGAGTCTCCCAAGATCAACAACATAAAAATCATGATGTGTACGGTCATGCATTCGCCTCGCCATGGTCCTCTGAAGTACTTGAAACCATAAACTAAAACTGTAAGCACAAAGCTTAGTGAGTTTCCCCAAAATACCACCACATAAACATAACAAATAACAACATGTACTGGGTTCATTACTAAAAGACTGGATTACCCCTAAGCCCATAGTATGAGTCTGGCTTGCCTATCGGGTCCACAACTCATATCTGGCTTGCTCCTGAGCCCACATCATAAGTCTGGCTTGCCCTCGGGGCCCACAACTTATGTCTAGCTTGCTCCCTGACCCAATTAGTCATCGAATTGGAATACCAATATACATCGGGTCCATGAAGTCATCGGACTGGAATACCCTTAGGCCCTCAATACGAGTCTGAAATACCAATCGGGCCCTCAGCTCATATCTGGAATGCTCTCGAGCCCTTAGTATGAGTCTGGCATGCGAACCGGCCCTCTGCTCATATTTGGAATGCTCCCGGGTTTGTTGGTTACAACACAAAGCAGTACGACTTCAACCAAACACAATATGTCGACATATAACAGATAACAAACATTATTCAATAGACCACTAATTATACAGATAGAATTCACAAGTAGTCCCACAGATCTACCGGTCTACGCATATTAGCAACTATCATATAATATAGATATACCCCATATTCAGCTTATCATCAATCAAGATATAACAGGATAACAATCCAATTGGGCCGACCTTGGTGCCTTCGACCCACAAGTACAGTGAGGAAAACTCACCTCTCAGTCTGAACGATAGCTGATAAGGTCCCGACTCCGAATCTCAGCTCTAACCGTCACCTATCCATCTAAATGACCAATTCTCAAACACAATCCAAAATACCCAAAATACCTCTAGGTCAAACTTGGTCAACCATGGTCAAATTCAAAGTCAACGGTCAAGGTCCCAAAAGTCAATATCCCTTCCCAGCGGAGTATGCCCTGCATACCAAGAGAGTACGCCCAACGTACTCTGATGTTGACCAAAAAGCGAGGCGATGACCGCGTACGCGCAACGTACCACTAGGTACGCCCAACGTACGCAACCCAATCCTAAAACTCTATTAAGAGCTTATTTAATTAACCTCTTACGTCCAAAACTCAGATCCAAGCCCAAAATGATGTCCTAAGTCATAAAGTTTTTAACTTTATGACTTTGCATGGCTATAAAGTGCTTAATGTCCAAAACTCTAAGTTCTTACAACTCTTGCATGAAAGGGATAGAAAGACCAAGATTACATTGTTATGGTTCATAATAGCTCCAAAATGGATAAAGTTTCCAACTTTACCCATTAGAATGGTCCCAACAAACAAGATCTAGTCTTTAAGTCTCAAACGGACCCAAAAGTGCATCTTTTCAACTTAATTTATTAAGTCCACGTCTCCAACCTTCAGATATGAATCAAAATGATGTTTAGATGGATAAAGTTTCCAACTTTATCCATAACAAGGTCACAAGCTTTCAAGATCTAAACTATATGCACTTAAAGTGACCAAATACTCATAACACCCAAAACTAGCTAAATCTAACAATTTCATCATCAAGATTCAAACTTTATACCTCTAGAAGAAAGATCAAGGTGAACAAAGTCTGGATCTACAAGCTCCAATGCAACCAACACTGCTTCAATGAGTTCCTTCTTCTCCAAGTTGCACCAAGAATGCTCTAAAGCACTTAAAAGCACCATCTTTTTGCTCAAAGGCTCAATCTAGGGTTAGGGTTTCAAGAGAGGGTGTTGGAGAGATGGAGGATGAGAATGGAATGGGTTTGGGGAAGTTAAGGAGATTAAATAGGGCTCAAATCACAAAAATAGGGTTTGGGCATTGATCGCATACGCTTAGCGTACACGGCTCAGCCCGAAACTGCCCAAACTTCCAACGGTCACAACTTCTTCGTTCCAACTCCGTTTTCGACGTTCTTTATATTCATGGAAAGGTGTCGAAGAGCTCTACAATATGATATAAATACCTCTCGAACAAAAATCCATATTTCATGCAAGGACCCGACCTATGACTTTTCCCTTTCTACCTTTCGGCCCTATTCACTATTTAAGGGTAAAATCTCTTATCTATCATTACCTCATTCCACAAGGGCTA